ATCAAGTAAAGCTGAGCTGCTTCAGTCCAGTAAGTGTTCATCTGGAAATATTACTACACTCTAAAAACTGCTGGGTTGTTTCAACCCAATTTTGGTTCAAATATGGACTAACCCAACATTTGGGTTAAAACATTTTATTAAAAAATATAACCCAACAGCTCGGTTAGTCTTTGACCCAAAGTAATTTTGAAACAACCCAGCATTTTTTAGAGTGTATAGTGCTCGCTGCGGATTTAGTTCATAGATGTTCTTATTTCATCTGTTTAATCATAAATTCGTTGCAGACTACTTCACTCTTCTGTTCAGTTCTATAGTCTGGCTTAGGACACTCAATCTTGAATTTACTTTAAAACCTTTTTCCCCCCCTAATTTTTATAGTTATTATTATACATGAGACTTGCTCTCGCGTCACAACACTACAAGAGCTGTTAAAGTGAATTGCAAAAAGATTATAAAAAGAATGAAAAGTATACATAAAATGAAATGAAATAAAAGAACGTAAAATATACAGTTTCACTTAAACATTCATTTGTAGGTTAAAAAAAAGTTATTTGACAGCAACCTGTCATCCCATTTGACACCATGTGTATTGAGGAGGACAGAGAATCTGGTTCCAGAGCTTTACTGGCTAAACTTCAGGAGCAGGTCAAAGCCAGAGAACAGCAGAGCAATTCTACCATATTGTTGTTGTTGGTTTTTCAGTTTTATATAATTTATTTTGATATTCATTTAACATTTATTTCTAAAAAATAAAAATAAAATCACAAAAATCAGGGTCAAATAACCCTTTTTGAAAGTTAATCACCTCCTTTAACTGAGCAATTTTTATTTTTTTGAGGGAAAAAAAGACTTTATTAAGAGTTTCAAGCTCTATCCTCCTGTACTGTTTTTGTGGAAAGTGCTTTTACAGAAATGTATTATTTATTTTAGAAGATAAAGAATCCGATAATGAGAAGTCTGTAGAAATCACAGAAACAAGTGAAAGTGACCTAGAGGAAAGTAAGGAGACTGAAGAGTCAGATCAGTCAGGAAGCAGAAGCAGAAAACAGCCCTTGCCAGACCACCTTCCACATCCTGGGCGGCTTCGAAGAGAAGACAGTGCAAAAGGTAGCTGGGAAAATATCTTTAAGTTCTGAATGAAACCGTATTGAGTGTTGTGTCTTGTAAAGAAATGTTTCTGCACAATTGCAGGTCAAAAGAGTATTGCCCCAGTGGTTGGCACAGCCTGACGTCATTCAGAGAGACGTTAAGAAGAACCTCATTCCCATTAGTGAGGTGCCAGGCATCTGTCCCACACTGATGAAGAAATGAGAAACTAACGGGATATTAAACTGCATTGTATTAAACACAATGCAGTAACATGGTTATACTGCAACTTACAGCAGGGGCTAATGGACCAAATCTTGACCCCTATTATTGGAGAGTCTAATGTACATCAGAACTGACAAGAAGTCAGTGTTACATTTTTTTTAACTCTGTCATTTTACATTTATGTATTTGGCAGACTTTTTTTTTTTCAAAGCAAGTAACGACATTTATGATGGTACAAAATATTCTATTTCAAATACTGTATATGCTGTTGTTTTGAATCCTGAAAGAAAGAAAAAAATC